GACGCTCCCTGCGGCCTCAGGAGGAAGCAACCTGCCCCAGCCCCCGGACCGCGGACATGGCCCCAGAACTGGGAGAGGACCCGGCCCCCAAGTTTGTGGTCTCCTGTTCCAGCAGCCCCGGCAACTCACACCCCATGTCCAGCCACGGGGGCCCCTGCGGCGGGGAGCAGAGCCCGGAGTGACGAGGGGCATCCAAGAATAACTCTCCCCGGCCCGCGTGGCTCAGCGGTTGAACTTTGACCTATGAACCAGGAGGTCACGGCTCAATTCCCAGTCGGGGCACATGCCCGGTTTCAGGCTCGATCCCCAGTAGGGGCCGTGCAGGAGGCAGCCGGTCAATGGCTCCTTTTTCTCTCTCATCACTGATGTTTCTCTCTCTTTGTCCCTCTCCCTTCCTCTCTGAAATCTATATGCATATTTACATGCATATTTATACTGATGAATATATATATTTTTATGAATAACTCTCCTGTTTGTTAGTCTCTGAATCACTTCTATTCCAAGGTCACCTTGGGCCCCACGCCTGGCCTGTGCCCGTGGGGAGACCTGAGGGACCAAGATCTGGACCCGGAGGCTGCTGGGAGCCCTGAGACTGGCCGAGACTGACCCGCCCGCTGAAGGCACCACGGCCACCTGCCCAGACCCCTGTGCTCTCAGGGGGCCCGGCACCCCTGGGGCTGCCTGGGTTGGGGAGACCCTTGTCTGTTTCACACGTGGCCTTTTGGAGAATTGACCTTAAACCAGGAGCTTCTTAGCTGATGACACTTGCAGACCCTCAACTTGTCCCGCCGGCCCACCTTGGGGAGGGCCCGGCCCAGGATGGGGGAGGCAGGAGCTCTGTAGCAAAGGATCAAAAGGAATGAAAGACGTCCCGCCCCCGGGAAGCACACTTTAAAGGGTGATGAGGCCACGCTGAAGGTCGCTGGAAAGGATTGGGAATAGGCGTTATTTTTGGACCAGCCCAGCTGCCACCCAGCGGCAGCGCAGCCGGAACCAGGTCGGCAGGAGACGCCGTCCTTCCAGGGCCTCGGGCTGTGGGCCGGGTGACGCACTCCTTCCACCCCATCCCACGCCCACTCGGGGCGTGAGGGCCAGGCCGGGGTCAGCCCCAGGGGCAGCCCCACCGTGAAGCTGGCCCGGAAGCGGCTGGACACCAGGAGATGGCTCAGCCTCTGCGACCTCGGGGGGTAAGGGGACAGGCTCTCCCTGATGTCACTTCCCACCTAGGAAGGCGCTGGTGCCCCCGGCTGTGTAGGGGTGCGGCGGTCCCGACGCCAGGAGGGCATGCGACATGCCAGTCCGGGTCCTGGGGGACAGGAAGGGTGGGCGCCCCGCGGGGAGCTCAGCGGGGAGCATCTTGAGAGAGTGCTGCTGGCCCGTGACGGCCCAGGACCCCACGGTGGCCTCGGGCCAGGGTTCCCTGTGGGGGGACGAGCAGAAGTGCAGGGACATGGGCCGGGCTCAACCCCCTGGGCGGAGTGGGCACCGTGAAGCCTGTCACCGCCCGTGCCCCTGGGGACAGAAGGGGAAGGTGGGTGTACGGAGCGGAGCCGGGGTCCTCCTCCCCCAGGACCCCCCCATCGCACACACACAGCCCACGGATGCCTGACGGCTCTGTTTTTAGAGCAACACCCGCCGCGCTGGCACCGCAGTTACCAAGGCAAAGAGGAGCCGCCAGGAGCGCACGGTGAGCTGGAGGCAGGAGCTGCGGGCGCGGCTTCTCCAGGGAGATGAGGTGCCAGCAGCAGCGAAGGCCACCCACGCGGCATGCAGCTGGTGAGTGCGGTGCCCACGGGGGAGTGATGGTCGGACTCAGGGGAGGCGCGGCTCTGACCGGCCCACCAACGCTGCAGCACACGCTTCTCACCCCACGGAGCTCGTCCCCCCGACCCGGCCTGGGCCACGGCCGAGCAGCCCGAACAGGCACAGGCACCCCTGTGAGTCCCACTGTACCCCCCCTGCAGCAGGGGTGAGGACCTAGACACTGAGGGGCGAGGGGTGCAGTCCTTCTGCTTTCTGGGGGGAAGGGACACGGAGGCCGTCTGCAGGTCGCCGCGGAGGGCCGCCAA